CATCCAATAGCTGGCCGATGCATCTCCATGCACTGTCTTGCTTGAAGGAGGTCCAGTTAGGCTTCATCTGCTACTCAGAAATACCACATCTGCTTCTCCCAGCCCTGCACAGGCTTGCGTAAGGTCCTTCTCACTTCTGATCCAGAGCTCTCTTCTCATTCATGAGTCACATACGTGTCTGCTGAGTGTCCCACAGACTTTGGCGACTCACCATAACCCACCCCTCTGAGTCACAGCGTGATTTTCCCCATTATGACTTAAATTCTGGAATTTAAGTCTTTCTATGATGTAAGATATATTTTCCCTAGTTGCTTGAATTTCTCTTCTGGGGGAACAAGTTGTCCAGAGGAAACAGTCAAAGGATTTTGAGAAGCTGGGTGTGGTGGGTCAGGCTCGTCCTCCCAGTCTCTCGGGAAGATGAAGGCAGGATGAGTGAGAAATGGAGGAGACCCAGCCGTGGCAAAGTTAGTAAGACTCTATCTCAAAAAACAAAACAGAAAGGCTAGGAAGGTGGCTCAGTGGTAGAGCGCTTGCCTTGCATGCATGAGGCCCTGGGTTCAATTCCTCAGCACCACATAAGCAGAAAAAGCCGGAAGTGACACTGTGGCTCAAGTGGTAGAGTGGTAGCCTTGAGCTGAAGAGCTGAGGGACAGCGCCCAGGCCCAGAGTTCAGGCACCACGACCGGCAAAAAAAAAAAAAAAAAAAGAGAGACAAAAAACAGAACAAGAGCTGGAGACATAGTTCGAATGTCTAGACAAACACTGAGTACCACAGCATTGAACAAAAAGTTTTTCTTTGTGACTAGTTAGAATAGTTAACTTTCCCTACTAGGTTTAGAAATCAGCCAGGCTAGATTCACTACAGTGTGTTATCACTAGATAAGACAATGAGCTAACATAAAGCAGAAGCCCCTTCTTTGTTTTTGAGTCAGAATTGAATAATTTCTAGTTAAAAAGAAAAAACAACAATTCTGCTTTCGAAGGGAGATAAACTCACCATTACAAACCAACTAGAGTCTTTTTAAAAAATTAAGACCAACGGGCTGGGAAGGTAGCTCCGTGGTAGAGCGCTTGCCTTGCATGCATGAGGCCCTGGATTCGATTCCTCAGCACCACATAAGCAGAAAAAAAAGCCGGAAGTGGCACTGTGGCTTAAGTGGTAGAGCACTAGCCTTGAGCTGAAGAGCTGAGGGACAGTGACCAGGCCCAGAGTTCAGGCTCCACGACTGGACCCCTCCCCCCCAAAAAAAAATTAAGACCAAGTAGGTTTTTTCCCTCCTACTTGATTCCCCTGGGCTTTATTTTCTTAAAAAGAATAAAGCCAGAGCCAAGTGCCAGTGGCTTATGCCTATAATCCTAGCTACTCAGGAGGCTGAGATCTGAGGATAGCAGTTCAGAGTCAGCCTGGGCAGGAAAGTCCATGAGACTCTTATCTCCAATGAAAACCAGAAATGGCACTATGGCTCAAAGTGGTAGAGAGCTAGCCTTGAGCTGAAGAGCTCAGGGTCAGTGCCCAGGCCTAGAGTTCAAGCCCCATGACAATAAATAAATAACTAAAAAATAAAGCCAACAACAAGCACCTGAAGTAGTGTCTTAAAAAAAAAAAAAGGGCTGGGAAGTTGATCAGTGGTAGATATTATCTGTGTTTCTGCCCTGCATTACAGAGTTGTTAAATATATATGTATATATAAATATGTGTGCATATGTGTTGTGATTACTAATATTTCTCTTTTTAAAATATTTTTCTCTTCAGATTGAAACGATTGGCAAAAAGGTGTCTTCAAAAAGAATTCCATATACTCCTTCTGGTGAAATTCCAAAGTTTAGTCTTCAAGACCCACCTAACAAGAAACCTAAAGTATAGGCATTGCTGTTTTTTACCTATGATTATTTTGGTACTTCATTGTTTAATGAAACTATTTTTTTAATCATCAGATTTATACTAGCTACATGGATATTAGTATATCTGGTAATTATGAATCAATATTTTTTACATATTTTTATATTATTGTTAGCTCTGCAGTTTAATAAGTAGAAAACAATCATGTTTGTTTTAATGGTGTCAAGTTTTTTGTAAAAGCAAAATTAAACCTCATTTTTTTGTATGCTGATCCTGGGGCTTTAACTTGGGCTAGGCACTGTCCCTGAGCTTTTATACTCGGGGCTAGTGCTCTACCACTTGAACCACAGCTTCACTTCTGGCAATTTTGGTGGTTAAGTGAAGGTAACAGTCATAAGGGGCTGGCTTCAAACCACAATCCTGAGATCTCAGCCTCCTGAGCAGCTAGGATTACAAGTATGAATTACGAGCACCGGGATCAAATACTTTTAACTTAACAAATTACATTGATAGCACTTTAATATTGCATCACAAAGGGAAAGACTTTAGTGGCTTATTTGCTTATTACTAAACATGTGTTTTGAAACCATGAAATTATTGTGCTACCCCGGCCTGGTAAAGTTCTTTCTTCCTTCTGGGTTTGGGTGTTGCTTTTGTTTTTGCTTTTTTATGTCTTTTGACATGGTCTTATGTAGATCAGGCTGGCCTGGAACGTGGAATCTTCCCATCTCAGCCTTTCAAATGCTGGGATTACAGCAGTGTACTAACCATGCTCAGCTCTTTTTGTCTTAACCAAGATGTCACTGTCTTTTTTCTTAAGCCCCAAAAGATCATTACTGTATTTTCAATAACTCTAGCTCCAATAATTTTTTCTTTAGAAAATTATTAGGACTAGGAATGTGGCTTAGTGGTAGAGTGCTTGCCTAGCATGCATGAAGCCCTGCATTTGATTCCTCAGTACCACATAAACAGAAAAGGCTGGAAGTGGGGATGTGGCTCAAATGGTAGAGCGCTAGCTTTAAGGACAGAGTCCAGGCCCTGAGTTCCTGAGTTCAAGTCTCAGGACTCGCAAAAAAAAAAAATTAGTAAGTGTATAAGAGATTTCAATTCCACAAATCAGATTGAGTATAATGTATCTTGATCAATGTCATTCCTTTAGAAAATTTTAACATGAAGGAAGAATCAGTAGAATAATCAATTTCTCTAGTTCTTGGCTTTCCTCATTGATCACTACTTTTATAGTCTGAATCAAAATGTTTGTTACCTTTATTTTGCATTTTTACTTCTATTTTTAATTATGATTTTTCCTTTTTTTCTTAAGAAAACCAGTAAAATCTTAAATGAAATAAAAGCTTTTACATATGGCTTAATTTTAAAGTATGGATTTTGTGTGTGTTCCCCTTTGCTTTTCTTTCTTTTTTTTTAATTGTGAGAATACCGTACAGAGGAGTTACAATTACATGGGCAAGATAACGAGTACATTTCTTATCAAGCATTGTTGCCTCCTCTTGGTTTCCCCTTCCCATCCTCCCCCCTCCCTTTGCTTTTTTCTATGTCCTGTTGAATTTGTATAGGCAGTGGTTATTTTCCCTTGGAGTTGGTTGTTATTAGTCAGATTCCATTTTATGCTTGTGTTCGCTGAGAATGTACAAAACTGGCTAAACACACATAGATACTGGTCTCTGGAAGCTTTGTGGGTCAGTAAGAAGGATAGCAAAGGTGAAGACATCTGAACATCAGATAACAAATATATAAATCACACCCCGAGTTAACACCGCGTGGGTGTGATTCAAGTCACTAATGAGTCATCATAGTCTGCGGCAAAATAACTCTTTACTTGTTTGCAAAAGGTGGTGATTTTTTCAAATGATGCAAAGAAAGGGAGGGAAATTAGCAAAGGAATTTGGCATTGACAAACTAGCCCATGGGCCAAACTTATCCAGCCATATGAGCTAAGAATAGTTTCAGTTGTGTGATTACATCTTCAATAGTTATATAAGTCTCTACATAATAGCTTTCTTCAGTTTTGTCTCTTGACCTTCAAAACATGAAAGTATTTGTTATGTGGCCCTTCAAGAAAAAAGTGGGGGCTGGGAATATGGCTTAGTGGTAGAGTGCTTGCCTAGCAAGCATGAAACCCTGGGTTCGAGTCCTCAGTACCACATACACAGAAAAGCCAGAAGTGGCACAGTGGCACTGTGGCTCAAGTAGTAGAGTGCAGCCTTGAACAAAAGAAGCTCAGAGACAGTGCTCAGGCCCCAGGACTGGCAAAAAAAAAGAAAAAAAGTAGGCATATCCCCTGAGAAAAACCTCCAATGATTTAAAAGCTATGAGTTTTCTTTTTTGTTTTTTTGGTCCAGTCGTGGGGGGCCTGAACTCTGGGCCTGGGCTCTGTCCCTCAGCTCTTCAGCTCAAGGCTAGCACTCTACCACTTGAGCCACAGTGCCACTTCCGGCTTTTTTCTTATGTGGTGCTGAGGAATCAAACCCAGGGCCTCATGCATGCAAAGCAAGCGCTCTACCACTGAGCCACCTTCCCAGCCCCAAAAGCTATGAGTTCTTATTCATAAGACTTTGAGAGGGGCTGGGAAGGTAGCTCAGCGGTAGAGTGCATGCCTTGCAAGCATGAGGCCCTGGGTTCGATTCCTTAGCACCACATAAACAGAAAAAGCTGAAAGTGGCGCTGTGGCTCCAGTGGTAGAGCGCTAACCTTGAGCTGAAGAGCTGAGGGACAGTGCCCAGACCCAGAGTTCAGGCCCCATGACCGGCAAAAAAAAAAAAAAAAAGACTTTGAGAGTGAGCTTACTAAGTAGAATTTGCTTTGCAGTTGTGCTTGGCAAAATATTCTGAGATTGCAAGATCGTTTAGTGGTACTGCCTGGGTGTGAATTCAAGCAGGACCACACGCTTGGTAGGCAGGTGCTCTTAGGTTTTCAGATGAGTCTGGCTTGGTTGTGGTGGTAGTTATTGTTGCACAGGGCCCACCTGAGACTATGATCCTCCTATTTATTCCCCCTCCCCCTTTTCTTCCTTTTTTTTTTAAGACTGGCCCTGAAACTTGAGGTCCTTCTGTCTTATACACCTCCAAGTGCTAGGGTTACAGGCATGCACTACCATACCTGGATAATACAGTTTTCAACTTTAATGTTAACAGCAAACTGATTACATCATAGTAAGCAATTATTTATTAGGACAAAGAAGGCATGCTGAAAATCAAAATGAATTACCATCATTTAAAATGTACAGCTTACTGGCTTTTTTCTTAAAACAAAAAAAAAGTTGGCATTCACCCAATGAAGTCTATGTATTCTGGTATAGCCTCTGGTACCAATTGGAAGCAAATTAAAAAAAAAAAAATTCCGTGATCTTGAAGGCTCTATCTTGTTTTAAAGGGCTTTTGTTTTTCTTTTAGCCACTAGATTTTTCAGGAAGAATTCACCTATCCAAAAAAATATAAAAATACATTAGTATCAATTTAAATAACAGTAAAACTATTATTCCAGAATTTTCCTTCAATGTTTCTCTTATAAAGAACACTGGAGCCAGGCACCAGTGGTTCACACCTGTAATCCTAGCTATTGAGGAGGCTGAGATATAAGGCGTGTGGTTTGAAGCCAGCCAAAGATCATGAGATTCTTATCTCTAATTGATTACAGAAAAAGCTGGAAGTGGAGCTGTGGCTCAAATGGTAGCGCTCTAGCCTTCAGCAAAGGGAGCTCAGAGATAGTGTCCAGCCCTAGGACTGGCACGCACACACACAAAAAGAATTGTGTGTATTTATATATATATATATAAATATATATATATATATATATAATTTTTTTCTTTTTCTAATCACTTATTTGCTTGTTTGCCTGGTGCTCTGTCACCGGAAGTACAGCCCTTATTTTTGCTGATTGTTTTGGAGATGGGGTTTTGCAGAATTTTTTATTTATTTTTTTGGTCAGTCCTGGGGATTGAACTCTGGGCCTGGGCACTGTCCTGAGCTCTTCAGCTCAAGGCTAGTGCTCTACCACTTAAGCCACAGCACCACTTCCAGTTTTCTGGTGGTTTATTGGAGATAAGAATCTCATGGACGTTCCTGCCCAGGCTGGCTTTGAATCATGATCCTCAGATCTCAGCCTCCTTAGTAGCTAGGATTACAGACATGAGCCATTGGTGCCCGGCTTTGCAGAAGTCTTATTTGCCACCTTTGACTTCAAACCATGATTCTCTGGATCTCAATCTCCTGAATAGCCAGGATTATAGTTGTGAGTCAACAGTGCCTGGTTCCATTTTCTAATCCTAAAAGCAATATATTTAAAAAAAAAATCCATTCCCTGTCATTAGTTCTTCTTCTCATAAAAATTTATCAATACAGTCTTTTTTGGGTCCGGTTGTGGGGCCTGAACTCTGGGCCTGGGTGCTGTCCCTCAGCTCTTCAGCTTAAGGCTAGCGCTCTACCACTTGAGCCACAGCACCACTTCCGGCTTTTTGCTTATGTGGTGCTGAGGAATCGAACCCAGGGCCTCAGGCATGCAAGGCAAGCGCTCTACCACTGAGCCACGTTCCCAGCCCATATCACTACAGTCTTAATCTTTTCTTTTTGTGTGCCAGTCAGGACCTGACTTCACTGTCCCTAAGCTTTTTCACTCAGGGTTACACTCTAGCACTTGAGCCACAATTCTACTTCCAGCTTTTCTGGTAGTTTTCTGGATAGTTTCATGACTTTCCTGCCCAGGCTGACTTTGAACCATGATCCTCAGATCTTAGCCTCCTAAGTAGCTATAGTTACAGCCATGAGGCACTAGCATCTGGCTCAGTCTTTTTTTTTCCCCCCAGTCGGTCGTGGGGCCTGAACTCTGGGCCTGGGGAGTATCCCTGAGCTCTTCAGCTCAAGGCAAGTGCTCTACCACTTGCGCCACAGCATCACTTCTGGCTTTTTTCTGCTTATGTGGTGCTAAGGAATTGAACCCAGGGCCTCATGCATGTAAGGCAAGCACTCTACCACTGAGCACCTTCCCAGCCCCACCTGGCTCAGTCTCAGTCTTAATTCTTATTCTTTCTAATAAACCCAACCATCAAGGGCAGCCCTGTGTGTCTACAAACGGCCTCTGTACATCCTATTGTATGTGCACTCGATGCCTCATTAATGGCAAAGTACTGCTGCTGGCAAAAATCATTTCAGCACCAACTTTGTTCCATTATTAGCCCAGATCCGATGTGTAGGACAGACCTGGATGCAACTGAGCAGACTCATCTGATGGAATTCTTCAGTGGATTGCCCTCCAGGGAAGCCAGCTCTTCATTTGTAAAAGCTTTCTCCTGCTCCTCAGTAGAGCTTGCTGTTTAGCAGGGCCACTCACTTTCCAGGCCATTAAGGTTCCATTTAGTCTATCACTCTTACAACACAGCACAATGTTTATTTAGCGCTCAGCACTGGAGGCCCGACTTTATGAGGGGCTGAATTAGCTTCTGTTTGTCATCTTATGTATATGTGCAGAACGGCAATGACCACAACCAAATACAAGAACCCCCAACTCAACCCAGCTCAGTAACCTCTGCAGATCTGTACTGCATGTGAGTCTGCTAGAAACACAGGTAGCATTATCCAGTGCCATCTGCGTCTACCACCTAAACCCACAGCTCCATGTGTCCAAGTTCAATCCTACTAGTAATTTAGAAAGTATTGTAATGCTGATAAGTTACCTCCTTACCAATGTTATAGAAATGCTTCCTTGAAAACAATAAAACATCTTTCAAATGGCACTGCTGTAACCACTCTAAAAGCTAATCTTGGTTTTGGTTTTAGCCTTTGTATTTGTTTAATTACCAATAATCCTGCTAAAAACTAAATGACTTATTTTACTTACTTTTCAAGTCCCCACATTCTATAATCCTGCTAAAAACTAAATGACTTATTTTACTTACTTTTCAAGTCCCCACATTCTATCAATCAGTGCTGAATCAAATCCTTGGGTTTTTATCACAGCATAAACTATTAAACAGTGTATAAGTCGGTACTGGTGACTCATGCCTGTAATCCTAGCTTTCAGGAGGCTGAGATTTGAGAATCATGATTCAAAGCCAGCCAAGGCAGGAAAAGTCCATGAGACTCTTATCTCCAATAAACCACTCAGAAAACCAAGAGTGGCGCTGTGGCTCAAGTGGTAGAGTGCTAGCCTTGAGCTGAAGAGCTGAGGGACAGCACTCAGGCCCAGAGTTCAAGCCCCATGACCAGAGGAAAAAAGTGTATAAAAATGTCTTAAATGGGGCTGGGAAGGTGGCTCAATGCTAGAGCGCTTGCCTTACAGGCATGAGGCCCTCCTTTTGATACCTCAGCACCACATAAGCAAAAAAAAAAAAAAAAAAAAAAGCCAAACGTGGGGCTGAGGATCAAGTGGTAGAGCACTAGTCTACAGCTGGAGAGCTGAGGGACAGCGCCCAAGTCCAGAGTTCAGGCCCCATGACCAATTAAAAAAAATGTCTTAAATGAATTGGAAACTGAGTTTTACTAATACATGAACATTAAATTCTTTGAAATAGAATTATAGTTAATTTAAACATATCTATGATTTAGACCTCAATATACACAGCAATCTTTTTTCTCCTTTGGAGATACTAAGGTTTGAACTCAGGGTCTTGAGCTTGTCAGGTTCCTCCTTAAAGGACGTTTTATCTTTTACAAAATGCTTTTAGAGTCAGACACTGGTGGCTCACACCTGTAATTCTAGCTACTCAAGAGGTTGAGATCTGAGGATCACGGTTCAAAGACAGCCCAGGCAGGAAAGACTGTGAGACTCTGATCTCCAATAAACCACTCAGAAAACTGGAAGTAGAGCTGGGGCTCAAGTGATAGAGGCTAGCCTTGAGTTGAAGAGCTCAGGGACAGTGCCCAGGCCCAGAGTTCAAGCCCCATGAAAGCAAGGGAAAAAAAAAAAATTGAAAGTAGAACTTTGATTCAAGTGATAGATAGCCTATCTTAGCTTAGGGACAGTGCCCAGGTCCTGAATTCAAGTCCCAGGACAAATAAAAAGAAAAAAGCTTTTAACCAGGGTTCTAGCTATGCAGGAGGTCAAGATCGGAAGAATCCTGATTCCTTTAGGGCATGAAGGTTTACGAGACTCCACCAGGCTAGAGGTGATAGTGAAGTGGTAGAACTCCAACCAGCAAGTCAAGCTAAGTGGTATGCCTCTCCCACCCCCCAAAACATACAAACAAACAAAAGCTTTATTGTCTTGCTGGTCCTAAGAACTCAAGGCCTGGGTGCTGTCCCTGAGTCTCTTGGTGCCAAAGGCGAGTGCTCTACTACTTGAGCCACAGCATCACTTCCAACGTTTTCTGAGTAGTTTACTGGAGATAAGAGTCTGAGCCGGTGCCGGTGGCTCACACCTGTAATCATAGCTACTCAGGAGGCTGAGATCTGAGGAACGTGGTTCAAAGCCAGCCCGGCAGGAAAGTCTGTGAGACTCTTATCTCCAATAAACCACTAGAAAACTGGAAGTGGCACTGTGGCTCAAGTGGTAGAGTGCTCTCCTTGAGCTGAAGAGCTCAGGGACAGCGCCCAAGCCCAGAGTTCAAGCCCAAGCCCCACGACTGTCTAAAAAAAAAAAAAAAGTCTCACAGACTTTTCTGCCTAGGCTGGCTTTGAACAGTGACCCCCAGATCTCAGCCTTCTGAGTAGCTAGGATTAGAGGTGTGAGCCACCAGTGCCTGGCTTGATGAAAATTTCTTTAGAGAAAAATGATTTTATGGAGTTTTTGTTTTTTTTTTCTGTTGTTACCTCTAGGGGGGAAAAAATGGAAAGAAATTACCAGTGCAAGGAGCAATGCTATGAAAGTCTGCTGCTTAGGTTGATGTGAAATTGGGAGTGTGGGGATGCATCATTTCCAAATGTATGCACATTTGCCAGAAAATGATTATATGCTTGATATATTTAGTGATTTATGAATAATCTGACAGTGAAATCTACACATAGAATAATAAATAATCTGTTACTGCTTTCATTAATGTGACTAAACATCAAGGTAGGTAGGGCTGATTTAAGAAACAAACTAGGTTTAGGAGAAATTTCTCCTTAATATGACACCGATGAAGCAAAGCTCCAAAAGAAGTTCCAGAAAAAAAGAAATACTTTTTATCCCCCAATAAAAGATAAACACAGGGGCTGGGAAGGTGGCTCAGTGGTAGAGTGCTTGCCTTGTATGCCTGGGTTCGATTCCTCAGCACCATATAAACAGAAAAAGCTGGAAGTGGTGCTGTGCCTCAAGTGGTATAGCACTCACCTTGAGCTGGAGCTGAGGGACAGTGCCCAGGCTGAGTTCAGGCCCCACGACCACTTAACAGCTTTGATGAACTGAGGTAGAACTTACACTGAAAAGTTAATGGCCTACAAAAACCATCCCCTGCAGTCCTGCTCACCTGCTTTATATGAAGAACGCACCAAAGGTCCACTTGCTGTATAATGAAATCCAAGTTCATTTCCTACTTTCTCCCAGTACTTGAACTTTTCAGGAGTAATATATTCTTCAACCTAGATTTAAATAATCTCTTCAGGTCAGGTAGCATTTTCCTAAAACATTCTGATCCTACATCATTTATCCAGGACTCTACCTTGCTCACTGATGACATGTCTGCAGATTACTTCTCGCCCCTCTATCAGAATGTAAGTATAGGGAATCAGAAAGAAGGGGAAACATATCAATATTGTACTGCAGTGGCTAAACCAAATGACAGAGGAAGGTAAGATTATATGTAAAGACTGTATTTTTCTTCATTGATTTCTAGGTAGAATCAAGATTCTACCATCCACATAATAGTTCATTATAGAAATAGAAACCTGGACTAGCTCTTTCTTCTCCCTTCCTTCCTTTTTCTTTTTTTCCCTTTTTTATTCTTTCTTTTCCTTTCTCTTTTTTTTCTTTCCTTCCTCCTTCCTGCCTTCCCCTTCCTCCTCTTTCTTTCTCTCTTTGTCTTTACTGATTGTGAGGCTTGAACCCACGGTCTGGGTGCTGTCCCTGAGCTCTTTCGCTCAAGGCTAACATTCTACCACTTTCAGCCATAGCTCCACTTCTAGTTTTCTGGTGCTTAATTAGAGATAAAAGTCTCAGGGATTTGCCTGCCTGGGCTGGCTTTGTACTGTGATCTTCAGCTCTCAGCCACCCGAGTAGCTAGGATTACAGATGTGAGCCACCAGCACCAGGCTTCTCTCTTTTTCTTCTTTCTTGGAGCCAGTCCTGGGACTTGAACTCAGGGCCTGAGTGCTATCCCTGAGCTTTTCTGGCTAAAGACTGACACTCTTACACTTGAGCCACAGCTCCACTTTTAGCTTTTTGGTGGTCAACTGGAGAGAAGAGGCTCATGAACTTGCCTGTTCGGGCAGGCTTTGAACCACAATCCTCAGATTTCAGTCTCCTGAGTAGTTAGGATTACAGGCGTAAGCCACAAGCGCCCGACTTGGGCTCTCTTACTTTAGCTTATGCATAACTTTAGCCAGAAGACACGGACTGTCAATGAATGAGATTTCCCAATTTTTTGTCCTTTTCTGTAGGTTCACTTGGTTCATACAATTTAAGTGGCAGCAAATAAGAACCAGAGTAGCTACTTTAGGAAAATAATAAAATGAAACTGCAACTTACAGGTACATATTCAACATTACCCAAAAAGCCAACATTTCTTATTTTTACCTGTGAACAGCGAAGACATCACTGAATTACTAGAAAGCATTTGGCAATTTAAGAGACTCTACCTTAAGATGGCGCTTTGTGGGTTGCATATATTGTCCCAAAGTTAAACAGTCTACATCAGCTTCACGGAGAGCTAAAGGGAAAAAAAAAGCACAAAGTACATTTATAATGGTATTTGTAGGCATTTATAATGCTGAAATTGTAGATTTAAGTATAATTTGAGGCATATTTCATAACTGAATTTTAAGCCCCACAACAGACCCCAAAAAAACAGTATTTGAGGGCTGGGAAGGTGGCTCAGTGGTAGAGAGCTTGCCTTGCATGCATGAGGCCCTGGGTTCAATTCCTCACATCATGAAGAGTAAGGCTAAATCTATTGGCTCAAAAATGATATGTATCAGGGACTATGGTAAAGGTTTCAAATGTAGGAATGATTAACATAGCCGGGCAGAGCTGAAAGCTATTAAGAAACACAGCTGTAATACTATGGAATAGTAAAATGGAGAAGAGGGTGTCTTTTTCTTTTCTCTCTCTTTTTTTTTTTTTTGCCAGTCCTGGGGCTTGAACTCAGGGCCGTACTGTCCCTGAGCTTCTTTTGCTTAAGGCTAGCACTCTACCACTTGAGCCACAGCACCACTTCTGGCTTTTTCTGCTTATGTGGTGCTGAGGAATCGAACTCAGGACTTCATGCATGCTACTACTAAGCCACATTCCCAGCTGAGGAGGGTGTCTTGGATTAGGTATGGTAGGCAGAGAAGGTGAAGGGAACACTGAATTAAAGGCCTGCAAATATCCATATTATAGCCCAGACACGATCTATTAGGACATACTCTATGGTCAAGATATGTCTTCAGGAGTGTGATTTGACCTCTGACATATCAGGAAATTTCTACTAACTTAGTTTCATAAGATTTCTTTCTTTCTTTCTTTTTTTTGGGGGGGTCGGGTCGTGGGACCTCAACTCTGGGCCTGGGCACTATCCCTCAGCTCTTCAGTTCAAGGCTAGCGCTCTACCACTTGAGCCACAGCGCCACTTCCGGCTTTTTTCTTTTTGCTTATGTGGTGTTGCTGAGGAATCGAACCCAGGGCCTCATGCATGCAAGGCAAGCGCTCTACCACTGAGCCACCTTCCCAGCCCTTGTGTACACGTTCATACAAACCTGTATTCCCTTGTACATTTATAAATTAGTTCTAGCTTCCACACATGAGAGAAAATGTTATTTCCTGTGTATATCTGGGCCTGCTATTACTCCAATTAAATGGGACAGATTTTTCGTTTTTAACTTCTTTACCTTTCATTGTTGTATATATTTGCTCATCATTCTCGCCTAAACCCAACATTATCGATGTTTTGGAAATAACGTCAGGCTGAATCTCCTTGGCATGTCTCAGGACACGTAGAGACTGGTCAAAATTGGCCCGGGGATCACGAACTTTCCTGAAAAATAGGAGGGTGTGATCAGCAAAAATAACTACAAGTTCCACCAAGTACACAGTAACACAAATAACAGGAAAGACCAGAAAGCCCATTGTGAGCGTTACATCCCATTATGTGGCTCAATGATGATATTTGTGCACAAATGCTAGATTTAGGAAAGAAAAGGAGGCCGCAGGAGGCTTGCAAGCTCTGACAACTTTTAAGATCTCTCAAGCCTAGAGAGGACAAACCAGCACAGAAGACATTTCTCCAGTATATGGATTGAGCAGTGGGAATTCTGAAATTCAAAGTTATAATGGCTGTATAGCGCAGTCAAAACAGAAAATGAGCAGACAGAAAAAAAAAAAAAAAAAAAAAAACTAACCTGACACTCCATTTCAGAGTTCTGAAACTTTCAACGGTCATTTTTTTCTAAAAGTCTAAGCTGCCCTCTGCTGGTGAGCACACAGCACTGCCAGGTGAGGTAAACAAATAAGGTTCTGGAATTTTCACTAGAAAGGATAATGTTTCTTCCGTGAGACTGGGGAAGTGGCACCCACTGCTGGTGGTTTCATGGCAGAGTTGGCACAGGCTGTATGCTATGCTTCAACGTGCCAAGCCATGGCTAAGATGGCTAAAATTGTTCGTTCCTTCAATTCTTTTTTGTTGGTCTGGGGCTTGAACTCCAGGCCTGGGCACTGTCCCTGAGCCTAAGTAGCATCCTGCTACTTGAGCCACAACTCCACTTCCAGATTTTTCTGAGTAGTTTATTGGAGGTAAGTCTCATGGGCTTTCCTGCCCAGGCTGGCTCTGAACCTTGATCCGCAGAGCTTAGCCTCTTGAGTAGTTAGGATTACAGGTGTGAGCTACCGGCACCAACTTGACTGAGTTTTAATAATATTGTCTGTATTTTAATGTTAATTTTTCTGAAATTTGAATATAGTTATGTGGAATAAAAAACTTTCATTGTCTCTACCCACTAAAATTACTAGGAAGAAGAGGAAAGGAAGAACAGTATTTACTTAAAAAAAAAGTAATTGTACAAAGAGGTTACAAAGGTTACAATTCCATATATATGGTTTTTTTTGTTTTTGTTTTTTGTTGGTCGTGGGGCTTGAACTCTGGGCCTAACAGCTGTCCCTGCGCTGTTCTGCTCAAGGCTAGTGCTCTTCCACTTGAGCCACAGCGCCACTTCTGGTTTTCTAGTGGTTTATTGGAGATAAGAGTTTCACGGATTTTCCTGCCTGGGCTGGTTTTGAACCGTGATCCTCAGATCTCAGCCTCCGGACTAGCTAGGATTACAGGTGTGAGCCACCAGCGTCTGGCTCCATATATCAGTTAACGAGTACTCCCTAGACACTATGTCAAAAATGAACTATACAACTGGTGGATGGGGTTGGAAGGGAAAAAACAAGGGAAAGGGTGAGAAAGGAAAAACAAGGGAAAGGGTGACATTGTCCAAAAAGAAATGTACTCATTACCCGACTTATGCAACTATAACACCTCTGTACGTTAACTTCATAATAACAATAAAAAATAAATTTAAACATACCCATTTTTCTGCTGCATCACCTATTGCTTGTATAGGTGCCCTGTGTGTGTGGGTGTGCACGCACATGCTCGTGTAAGCATCTGTTTGTGTCCAGTCAGGCTGGTAGAGATGAAAGCCCAGCTCAACAGCCCAGAGCCTTTGGTATGCCAGGGAAGCACTCTGCCACTGAGCCAGATCTCCAACCCCAAGATGTATTTTGAAGCCTTTTCTTTAGAATGACAGCTAAAGCAATTCCTCCGGTGCAAATTTTTCCATTTTAAGAGGGTTAAAAAAAAATAGTATTTGAGGGGCTGGGAAGGTGGCTCAGTAGTAGAGTGCTTGCCTTGCATGCCTGAGACCCTTGGTTCGATTCCTCAGCAACACATAAGCAGAAAAAGCTGGAAGTGGGGATAAGACTCAAATGGTAGAGCGCTAGTCTACAGCTGAAGAGCTGAGGGACAGCGCCGAGGCCCAGAGGTCAGGCCCCACGACCCACAAAAAAAAAAAAAAAAAATAGTATTTGAGCCAGGTGTTGGTGGCTCACGCCTATAATCCTAGCTACTCAGGAGGCTGAGATCTGAGTGAGGATCGCCGTTCAAAGCCAGCCCGGGAAGGAAAGTCCATGAGACTCCTATCTCACCTGAAAGCCAGAATGGCGCTGTGGCTCAAGTGGTAGAGCGCTCACCTTGAGCTGAAAAGCTCAGGGACAGCGCCCAGGCTAGTTCAAGCCCCACAACAGACCAAAAAAAAAGTATTTGAGGGCTGGTGGCTCAGTGGTAGAGCGCTTGCCTTGCATGCATGAGGCCCTGGGTTCAATTCCTCAGCACCACATAAGCAGAAAAAAAAAGCCAGAAGTGGTGCTGTGGCTCAAGTGGTAGAGCGCTAGCCTTGAGCTGAAGAGCTGAGGGACAGCGCCCAGGCCCAGAGTTCAGACCCACGACTGGACCCAAAAAAAAAAAAGAAAAAGTATTTGAGAGAGGAAAGTGTATCACAACAAAGCATAAATGATGTCAGTTACTCACTTCATGGTTTGGATCTCCCCCACTGAATGACACTAAGTGATTACTGGATGAAATTATTATGGGTGATACTTTGTGTTTTTGTTGAATGTGTTTTCTGATGGTTCTATAATAAAGAAGGAAGAAAGGAAGGCAAGAAGGGAGCTCACTATGTAAATATGTGACCCTAACTTCCCAACCATACTCTGTGTATGTAATCACCTCTGTAATTCTGGAACTGTTTCTACATTATGAGCATACACATCTAATCCTGATAGAGCAACTTTTTCTACTGCTTTAAGATCCCCTCGGAAATCTGGGGTAAGGCATTCCACAAGAATTTTTGGGTTCCTAGGAGGAAAAAAAAGAGACATATCAAATTGGGGAGAACAAATGACAGAAATGGTACTTTTAATAAGTTGTCATACTCATCCATGATCAGTGTGAACAGAGTAATCTTTACAGCCTAAGAAAAGCACAGAAAGAAGAATACCCCCTATGATACAGAACAAAAATAAACTCAAGAGCATTAAATAATATTTATAGAATGGTTCAAACACAACCCCATGCAAATAACAATCAGAATAAAAATTGAAGCTCAGTATGGTGGTACATATGCCTTGTAATCCCAGCTACTTATGAGACTGAGGCAGGAGAATCATGAGTTATAGGCCTGCTTAGGCTACGTAGCAAGTTCAAGGCTAGCCTGGGAAAGGTAGTAAGCCTGGGCACTGTCCCTGAACTCTCCAGCTCAAGACTAGCACTTTACCACTTGAACCACAGCACCACATCCGGATTTTTCTGCTTATGTGGTGCTGAGGAACTGAACCCAGGGCCTCAGGCATGCAAGGCAAGCACTCTACCACTGAGCCACCTTCCCCGCCCCTCAAAAGAAAAATTTTAAAAGGCTAGGGATGTAACTCAATGGTAGAGTATTTGCTTAGAAGAATGCAACACCTAATTCAATATGCAGTACCACAAACACAAAACAAAACATTTGAGATAACAAAGACTTTTAAACCTAATATGAATAGTAAGACTTTTAAACCTAATATGAATAGTTTTTGTTTGTTTGGTTTTGGTGATAATAGGGTTTGAACTTATGCCTCAAGCTTGCTACCATTTAAGCCAGCCCCTTGGGTAAAATCATTTGCAGGAATTAAAAGGTGAAACATTAAATATATATATACATGTTTTGTTTTTACTGTGCACAAAGTAAACTGACACATTTCTTTTTTTGTTGTTTTTTGGTTTTTTTGGGTCCGGTCGTGGGGCCTGAACTCTGGGCCTGGGCGCTGTCCCTCAGCTCTTCAGCTCAAGGCTAGCGCTCTACCACTTGAGCCACAGTGCCACTTCCGGCTTTTTTCTTTTTGCTTATGTGGTGCTGAGGAATCGAACCCAGGTCCTCATGAATGCCAGGCAAGTGCTCTACCACTGAGCCACCTTCCCAGCCACCTGACACACTTCTGTGAATACCATTTGATTGCTTCAGCTTTGATTTTTTTTTTTTTTGTCGGTCGTGGGGTTTGAACTCTGGGCCTGAGTGCTGTCCTTCAGCCCTTCAGCTCAAGGCTAGCACTCTACCACTTGAGCTTCAGTGCCACTTCCGGTTTTCTGGTGGTTTATTGGAGATAAGAGTTTCAAGGACTTTCCTGCCCGGGCTGGCTTTGAACTGTGATCCTCAGATCTCAGCCTCCTGAGTAGCTAGGATTACAGGCGTGAGCCACTGGCGCCTGGCTAGCTTTGATTTCTTTTACAATCATTAATAGTACCTTCCTCCCAAGTGCTATGGGTTTAGAAACAATTTTCTGGATTGCTGAGTCATGAATTTTGCTTAAATGAAATTTTAATCTTCCTATTTATACTGTGGCCATGTCTATTCACTCAAGCACATAGCAACAGAGCTATGGTTTTCTTTGACACTAGTAGAAAGGGTTTGGACAAGTGACTTTTTTTTCCCCACAAACCCCATAACAAAGTATCTGGAGCTGGTCTTTGGATAGCTAAAAGAAGAGGGGCTGAGAATGTGACTTAGTGGTAGAGTGCTTGCCTAGCATGCATGAAGCCTTGGTTTCCAGTCCTCAGTACCACATACACAGAAAAAACCAGAAGTGGAGCTGTGGCTCAAGTGGTAGAGCACTAACCTTGAGCACAGAGAGGCTCAAGGACAGTGCCTAGGCCTTGAGTTCAAGCTGCAGGACCTGCTAAAAAAAAAAAAAGAAAAAAAAGGGGCTGGGAAGGTGGCTCAGTGATAGAGCGCTTGCCTTGCATGCATGAGGCCCTGGGTTCGATTCCTCAGCACCACATAAACAAAAAGAAAACAGCTGGAAGTGGTGCTGTGGCTCAAGTGGTAGAGCGCTAGCCTTGAGCTGAAGAGCTGAGGGACAGCGCCCAGACCCAGAGTTCAGGCCCCACGACCGGACCCCCCCAAAAAAAAAAAAAAAGTCTGGAAAAGTCTTATCTGGAATTAACCACCCCCTCAAAAAAAACAGAAGCAGAGCTGTGGCTCCATCTAGGATTATAGGTATGAGCTAGGATTACAGGTGTGAGCTATTGGTTATTGGTGCCTGAGCCCTTAACTACTTTCACATGATGATTTCTTCAAAATCAGTGCTAAGACCACGGATTAACACCTTTTAAATAACATCACTCATAATTTAGACATGAGGTCTAAATGAGGATAGCTATGTACTAATAGTCCGGGGATACGTGCATGCCACTGAAATTCATGCAATCACTGATATTTTTTTTTTTTTTTTTTTTTTTGGGTCCGGTCGTGGGGCCTGAACTCTGGGCCTGGGCGCTGTCCCTCAGCTCTTCAGCTCAAGGCTAGCGCTCTACCACTTGAGCCACAGCCCCACTTCTGGCTTTTTTCTTTTTGCTGATGTGGTGCTGAGAATTCGAACCCAAGGCCTCATGCATGCAAGGCAAGCACTCTACCACTGAGCCACCTTCCCAGCCCCATCACTGATATTTTCTATGCATCTGTATGCATGAAAATACTTTCTCTGAAGAACAGGTAAATCTTTCCCAGTAGATTACCAAGAGCATGACATCTCCCACAATACTGGAAACTGCTACTTTAAAGTCACCTTTGAAACAGAAATCCTGGTTCCATAAAGGTACTTGAATTTCACAAAGGCAGAAACAAGTACCTTTCCTTTAAGCATGACACAGTCTTTGCAATGTGCTCCGCTCCACCATCAGGCAAATCTAGAAAGAAGAGAAAATGATGCCACAAGATGATGCCACAACTTAGTAAAAGGCAATTTCTGGTAGAAGCCATGAGAGCACATTACTAACCATCTCGATCCACAGATGTCAGGACAACGTAATCCAGACCCCACTCTGCAATTGCCTTTGCAGTGCTAGAGGGCTCATTAGCATCCAGCGGAGGTGGGTTTCTCGCAGTTTTAACAGAACAAAATCTGCAACCTCTTGTGCAGGTGTCACCCATCAACTAGAATACAGATGTTATCATTTAAATCAGAGAGAGGACCCTCAAGAATGTAATGTTCAGAGCAAGCTGCAAAGAATGTGAACAAATCAGTCATGTTTATTTTTTAATTTTTTTGTCAGTTGTGGGGCTTAAATTTGGGGCCTGGGCGCTGTACCTGAGCCTCTTTGTGCCCAAGGCTAGCACTGTACCACTCTAGGCCACAACTTCACTTCTGGTTTTCTGGTGGTTAATTGGAGATAAGTCTCATGGACTTTCCTGCCTGGGCTGGCTTTGAACCTCAATCCTCAGATCTCAGACTCCTGAGGAAGCTAGGATCATAGGCATGAGCCACCAGCACCTGGCTTTCTTTTTTTTTTTTAAATAAACATGTTGGCTTTCTTTTTCTTTTATGCTACCTATTTTATTATCAATAAGTAGAAGGTTTCTCTCTCTCTCTTTTTCTTTCTGTTGGTCATGGGGCTTGAACTCTTTGAGCCACAGTACACTTCTGGTTTACTGCGTGGTTAACTGGAGATAAGAGTCTCATGGACTTTCCTACCTGGGCTGACTTTGAACCGAAATTCTCAGATCTCAGCCTCCTGAGTAGCTAGGATTATAGGCATGAGCTACCACCGCCCAGCAGTTTTTTCTTTTTTGCTAGTTCCAAGGCCAGGTACTCTTGTTCTTTTTTTGTTTGTTTTGTGTTAGTACTGGAGCTTGACCTCAGAACCTCAGAGCCTGGGTACTATCCCTGAGCTTTTATGCTCAAGTCTAGCACTCTACCATTTCAGCCACATCTCTGCTTCTGGTTTTGGAGGTGTTTACTTGGAGCTAAGTCTCACAGACTTGTTTGCATGGGCTGGCTTTGAACAGTGATCCTCAGATCTCAGCCTCCTGAGTAGGATTATAGGCATGAGCTACCAGTGTCCAGATTCAGTTGGCTTTTTTTTTTTTTTTACTTTTTTTTTTTGCCGGTCCTGGGGCTTAGACTCAGGGCCTGAGCACTGTCCCTGAGCTTCTTTTTGCTCAACGCTAGTGCTCTACCACTTAAGCCACAGCGCCACTTCTGGCTTTTTCTGTTTATGTGGTACTGAGGCATTGAACCCAGGGTTTCAAGCACGCTGGGCAAGCATTCTACCACCAAGCCACATTCCCAGCCCTTTTATTCCACTCTCAACTCTACCACTTGATCTACAACTTGAATCTGGTTTTTTTTGTTTTGTTTTTTTGTTGGTTATTTAGAGATACTCTTTTCTGTGTGGGCTAGCCTTGAACTGTGATTTGCAAATCTCAGTCTTCTGATTATCTAGGATTACAGATGAGCTACTGGAGCCCAGCCAGTAACATTTTAGAAGACAAAAATATTCAGTCAACTGATCCATTTGCAGGTCTGTGTGGGAGTTAAAACTACAGCTCTGTGTTGTTAAACAGATGGGACAGAAAAATACATAAGATGTTAGCACTCATTTGTTTTTCTTTTTCATAAACTCATATATAAAGGAGAAATCTTCCCAGCAGTGACAATGCACGTACTGTAGTGCCTCTGTCCTTCACAAAAGCTTCGGAGGTTGAGCTGGCCTTACCATGATTGTGGCTGTGGCAGTGGCGTATTCTCCACCCCCCCAACATTCTCCAATATTCGGACATCGTGCTTCTTCACATACCTAGAAGCGAAAGGGAACAGAAGACAATCGGGTGGGAAAACCTACCAAATAAACAACTAATGATCACATATTTCAAGCTGCCCATTGTTTAGAATGTATTTCGTGTGTGTGTGTGTGTGTGTGTGTGTGTGTGTGTGTGTTGTGTGCCAGTACTGAGACTTTAAATCAGAGCCTTAAGTTCTTTTTGCTCACATCTGGCTTTCTGCCACTTGAGCCTCATTCTGGCTTTTTGCTACTTAACTTTTAACAGTAATCATCAGATTAAAAATAATAATTATAATAATAATAAGTTAAAAAAAAAACCCCACTGCTGGACAGTGGAGGCTTATGCCAGTAATCCTAGCTACTCAGAAGGCTGAAATCTCAGGAGTGTGGTTCAAAGCCAAACTGGGCAAGAACATCCTTGAGACTCTTATCTGCAATCAATCAGCAAAAAGCTAGATATGGTGGTGGATGTGGTAGTGTAGCTCAGGTGGTAGAGTGCTGGCTTTGACCCCAAAAATTTGGGGTCTTCAGTTCAAGCCCCAGGACTGGTATCAAACAAACAAACGAACAAACAAACAAAAACCACCACCACCACCACCCTCTTCAACAACATTTGTTTCCCATGTTTCAGAGAAGAATTTTTTGTGTATGCTTGCATGTGTGTGCACACGTGTATCTGTGTGTAAGTGTATACACTGTTACTGCTATTTCTTTAGTATAAAAACATGAATTTACATAAAATTTTGGGTTAGTGCTAGAGACTAGATTCAGGGCCTCACACACACTGTAACACTGAGATATGTTCCCAGCTCCTGAATGTATTTTTGTTACCAGTAATAATGTCTCTATTTACTTTCCTCCTTTTTATTTACTTACTAATAATTTTTTTGCCAGTTATAGTGGCAGACTCAGTACTCAGAAGCCTGAAGCAGGAATATCTCAAGTTCAAAGCCAGCTTGGGCTACATAGATAGCTCCTTTCTCAAAAACAAAAAAAGAAATTTTAAGCCATAAGTATTTAGAAACATTATAGTCTTCAGCCAAAATGGAAAGTTAATATTTGACAACTTACTGTATGGAGATTTAAATTCCTCAATGTATTTTTCAGTTTATTGTAATTTTTCCCAATAGGGATCTCTGTCTTTAGCCATGGAGGTAATCTTAACCTGAGTAAAGCCAAACATAACAGTCTATTAACAAACTGTCAAATCTCACAGCTTAGAAGTTTACTTTGTTAATACGATTCCTTTCATAGTCTTGGGTTAACTCTTACAAGTTGTGCCACATGAGTAAGAAGACTCAATTCACTTTCAAAAACATGTAAGAAAAGTCTAATGGGAACTGTGCTCATGTTTGCCTTTTGCAAAAATCGTTTTGCATCATTCTAATGAATGAATGATGATAGTTTGAACATTCATTTCCTATGAAAAATATTATCCAAAATACTATACTAAATATAATGTGGAGACATTCCAACCCTGCCCTGTCTGTTCTGTATTCTACATTTTATGATCATTATTAAATGGAAAAAAAATGTAAAATTTGGAGTGGAGATGGTATTTTGGTTTCCTTTGACTCTACTCATGATCTACAAGTTGTTGGATAAAGGCTATTCAAAACAATTTTCCTTCTGCATAAATCCACATCACTCTTTCAAAACAAAGGATTTGAAAGGTTATCTGCAATGACTAGGAAAAGCAACAAGTTAGATTAATATCCACTTATAAATCTTTATTGTGACCTAAGCAATTCATAGCAATGTGATACTCTTTACTCTATGAAGAAATTAGATGCTGGGTATGAAACTGGAAGATAGTAATAGAAAATGTTAGAGCTGTCAGGCACCGGTGGCTCACACCTGTAATCCTAGCTACTCAGGAGGCTGAGATCTGAGAGGATTGGGGTTCAAAGCCAGCATGGGCAGGAACACCCGTGAGACTCTTATCTCCAATTAATCACCAGAAAACCAGAAGTGGTGCTGTGGCTCAAATGGAAGAGCGCTAGCTTTGAGCTGAAGAGCTAAGGGACAGCCCCCAGGCCTAGAGTTCAAACCCCATGACCGACAAAAAAATAAAAAAGAAAGAAAGAAAGAAAATGTCAGAGGGGCTGGGAAGGTGGCTCAGTGGTAGAATGCTTGCCTTGCATGCATGAGGCCCTCGGTTCGATTCCTCAGCACCACACAAGCAGAAAAAGCCGGAAGTGGTGCTGTAGCTGAAGTGGTAGAGCATTACTAGCCTTGAGCTGAAGAGCTCAGGGACAGTGCACAGGCTGAGTTCAGGCCTCATGGCTGTTACACACACACACACACACACACACACACACACACACACACACACACACACACACACACGAAAATGTCAGAGGCTTAGGAAGGGTGTTGAGAAAGTATTAGTGGGCCTGGGGGGTGGGGTGGGGAGTGGAAATCAATCTTAGCTATTCTATCTAGGTCTGTTATCACTTCTTTCTAATCATCCCCAGCTAAATTTAACAAGTCTGAAATTAAAAAGCTATGCTGAGCCGGGCGCTGGTGGTTCACGCCTGTAATCCTAGCTACTCAGGAGGCTGAGATCTGAGGATCGCGGTTCAAAGCCAGCCCGGGCAGGAGAGACCGTGAGACTCCTATCTACAATAAACCACCAGAAAACCGGAAGTGGCGCTGTGTCTCAAGTGGTGGAGCGCTCGCCTTGAGCTGAAGAGCTGAGGGACAGCGCCCAGGCCCAGAGTTCAAGCCCCATGACCAACAAAAAAAAAAAAAGCTATGCTGTCTTCATGGTATCTGAAAAAAATGCACAATGAAGAAATGGACCATTAAGTTATCTCAAATTTTCAGTTACCTTTCTCCTTTCTGGCGTTTTAAGTTTCCTTTATACTCATCCCAGGTATTCTTGTCTGCCAGTTCACCAGATACAAATTCTTGTAGGTCTGGTCCATTCTGTAACAATTCCTTTTTTTTATCCGGCAAAGAAGTTAATGTTCTGATGGGGCTGTATAAATATTTTCCAAATACCTAAAGAAAGAATTTATTATGATACTCAGTAAGTGGAATCATTTGGCTTTAGCCCATTACAATACCTAAAAGAGAGGGCAAACACCCAAAACTGAGTCAGAAATGATTCAAAGGATGTAGGAGCTCTAAATGCCATAGGAGCTCTAAATGCCAAGGAGATTAGAATCTAAATAAAAGACTGGGAAAAAAGCCCAGTGAAAGTGTGAGGCCCTGAGTTCAAACCCCAGTACTAGCAACTTAAAAAAAAAAAAATAATGAGAAGACAAACCACCGTGGGTAACTGCTAAATTCTAGATTCAGAATAAATTTGGCAATATAATAATCTTGGGAGTGTAATATAAGTCAAATGTTCATATGCACTTTTAAAAAAATACAATTTTATTATTATTAAGGTCTTGTACAGAGGGGCTCATTTCACAATTCAGGTATTGTGTACAGGAAGTGGTGCTGTGGCTCAAGTGGTAGAGTGCTAGCCTTGAGCAAAAGAAGCTCAAGGATCCGGGTGCTGGTGGCTCATGCCTGTAATCCTAGCTACTCAGGAGGCTGATATCTGAGATCAAGGTTCAAAGCCAGCCTGGGCAGGAAAGTTTGTGAGACTCTTATCTCCAATAAACCACTAGAAAATCCGAAGTGGCACTGTGGCTTACGTGTAGAGTGCTGGCCTTGAGCTGAAGAGAGTAGGGACAGCGCCCAAGCCCAGAATTCAAGACCCACGACCGACAAAAAAAAAAAAAAAAGCTCAAGGACAGTGCCCAGGCCCTGAGTTCAAGCCCACGACTGGCAAAAAAATAAATAAATAAAAGATAAATAAAATGGGCTAGGCACTGCGTACATTTCTATTTTGGACAATGTCACTCCTTCCTTTGCTTTCCCCTCCATTTTCTCCTTCCCACCTGTACTTTTTGTCAGTACTGGGGCTTTAATCTGTTTCCTTGCTCATGGCTAGACTTTACCCATTGAGCAACTCTTCCACTCTTGCATTTTTCTTTTCTTTTCTTTCTTTTATTTTTGGGGGGGGGAAGTCCGGTCGTGGGGCCTGACCTCTGGGCCTGGGCGCTGCCCCTCAGCAATTCAGCTCAAGACTGGTGCTCTACCACTTGAGCCACAGCGACACTACTTCTGGCTTTTTCTTTTTCTTGGGGGGGGGGGGGGTCCGGTCGTGGGGCCTGAACTCTGGGCCTGGGCACTGTCCCTCAGCTCTTCAGCTCAAGGCTAGTGCTCTACCACTTGAGCCACAGCGCCACTTCCGGCTTTTTTCTTTTTGCTTATGTGGTGCTGAGGAATCGAACCCAGGGCCTTGAGCATGCAAGGCAAGCGCTCTACCACTGAGCCACCTTCCCAGCCCTTCTGGCTTTTTCTTATGTGGTGCTGAGGAATCGAACCCAGGGCCTCATGCATGCAAGGCAAGCGCTCTACCACTGAGCCACCTTCCCAGCCCCTCTCGCATTTTTCTGGTAATAGGAAATCAGAGTCTCTCCGGTGCCTTCGCACCGAGGTCCTCTGATCTCAAGATTCAGTCGAAGCCCGGGCGCCGGTGGCTCACGCCTGTAATCCTAGCTACTCAAGAGGCTGAGATCTGAGGATCACGGTTCAAAGCCAGCCTGGCCAGGAAACTTCGAGAGACTCTCATCTCCAATAAACCACTAGAAAACCAGAAGTGGCGCTGTGGCTCAAGCGGTAGAGCGCTCGCCTTGAGCTGAAGAGCGCAGGGGCAGCACCCAGGCCCAGAGTTCAAGCCCCACGACCGACCCTCCCCTCCCCAAAAAAAGATTGTTGAGTCACCAGCCCGGAGCTCATATAACCACTCCCTCCCCGCCGCCACGTTCGTTGTGGTTTCATGCGTGTGTGTGTGCGTGTGTGTGTGTGCGCGCGCGCCGCTACTGGGTTTTGAACTCATAGTCTGGGCGTTAATCCCTTAGCTTTTTCAGGACTGGTGCTCCACCACTTGGGCCACAGCGTTACTTCTAGCTGGCTTGTTTTGTTCATGCATTGTCGATAAGAGTCTCAGGGAGTTTCCTGCCCGGGTTGGCTCCAAATCTCAGCCTCCGGATCCGCTGGGGATGATCGGTGCGAGCCCCGGCGCCGGCGCCCAACCCCTTCCTAAATGGCACGAAGCAAGTGCAAACTGCAAAAACTCGGCTGCCACGGCGACGAAGCGCCGGTCCTGCCTTAAGTCTGCCTAGCCTCGCCCTTCCAGCGTGTTTTCGCCGCTCACCCGGGGCCCCAGGGTGCGGGCGGCACCCCCGCAGCGCAGAGACATCTCCCCCTGCTTTTGATCTAGCAGAGCCGCGCCGACGCCGGACACCGCCAATCCCGGGGAAAGGTCGGCCCCAGACGCCGTCGCTCGGTTTATGACAACACGCCAGCAACCACAGCCATCCCAAGCAATTTGAGCTGCTCTGCGATTGGCTGCTTTAGCCTAGAGTCGCGCGCTGATGACGTGAGACACAGGGCCCTTCCGGGCTACAAGAACGTGATGACGAAAGACGTTCTCTCTTTGCCCCATCTACTGCGAGGTGAGGATGGTTCTTCTATGCTCTTGTCCCGGGAGGGAATCTAAAGCCATCGGCTCCGGGAGAGTCGCTAGCGCGGATCCAGCGTTCGGAGTCCTCATCCTGGTTTTCCCCCGGTGCGGAAAGCGCCGTATGAGCCTGGCAGCGCCAGATTCAAGTTCTTTTCTGGGCTTTTAGGCCTGCTCCACCCTGCAGTCTTACCGCCATGGCGCGCCCGGATGGGACTGCTAGGGCTGGACAGAGCGGGAGCTCGTCAGGCTTCGAAACACTCCTGGCTTGGGGTGCCTGTCTCGGTCCCCAGCTCCCCAGCCTTTCGGCCTGGCAGTTCCGGGTAGGAGTGGAACCCTGAGCGCCGGCGCCAGCCTTCTCACCCGACTGTTTGTGTTTCAGAATGAAGACCATTCTCAGTAATCAGACTGTCGACATTCCAGAAAACGGTACGGGGTTCATGCGTGTGTTTCTGTTTTGTCTGGTACTCTGTGCTTTAAGCCTTGCGTGCTCACGAGCTCCTTGTCTCCTTAGTCGACATCACTCTGAAGGGACGCACGGTGATTGTGAAAGGTCCCCGCGGAACCCTGCGGAGGGATTTCAACCACATCAACGTAGAACTCAGCCTCCTCGGAAAGAAAAAGAAGAGGGTAATGTGGTTTTGTTTTTTCTTTACCTTCCGTTTTTTGAGCTCTCGAGGAGGGGGTGTGTGTGGATACTAGAATTGCTTCTATGTCAAGAACCGGCTCCGGGCTGGGAAGGTGGCTCAGTGGTAGAGTGCTTGCCTTGCATGCCTGAGGCCCTGGGTTCGATTTCTCAGCACCACATAAGCAAAAAGAAAACAGCCGGAAGTGGCGCTGTGGCTCAAATGGTAGTGCTAGCCTTGAGCTGAAGAGCTGAGGCCCAGAGTTCAGGCCCCACGACCAGACACCCCCCCCCCCCCCAAAAAAAAAAAAAAAAACCAAAACAAACAAAAAGAACTGGCTCCACAGAAGTGAAATGTGTTAACATCGTGAACAAAAATTGAGGCTTGGGTTATTTTCCCTAGAATATGTGGTTGGCTTTTCCCATGTTTGACTAAGACTAGTGTACAGTAGTTGATTGAATAAGTGAATGGAAGAGTTCTCTTAAAAGCTTGCTTATCTATGGAAAATGCCTCTCCTAATAGTTTTATTCTGTTACAGCTCCGAGTTGACAAATGGTGGGGAAACAGAAAGGAACTGGCCACCGTGCGCACTATCTGTAGTCATGTACAGAACATGATCAAGGGTGTTACTCTGGTAAGAAACATGGTCAGGCTTTTTGTTTTTAATCTTTTGGAAGAGGTTTTTCATCTGTCTTTTATGTGTATAACATTTATGTATAGTGCTGAAAAAAATAGGTTACACATGTGATTTGGTGAGTTTTGTAGAACTTGGCTAAACATAACTTAAGGGAGGGTGTATGTTGCTTGACTTTAAACCCAGGACCTTTGCACATGCTGAGAACAATGCTCTGCCTCTGATTTCTAGCCCCTGAGTTGGTTATTAATGAAAAATGTCCTGAGCATATAGTGAAGACTTGATTAATTTTTGGTGGACCTGTCACTGTGGGGATCCTTTGTGTGGATGGAAAAAGTTTCTCATTTTCCTGTTTTCCTAAGCGCATTTTATGTCAGTGTTTGTTACACATGCTCTACTGCCAAAATTAAAGTTCATGCTGAGGTGGTTTTCTTTGTGTTAGAACCTGGAACTCTACATTGTAAGTGTTAAGCCCTACATCATGGTTTGGGAATCCTCTTTTTTTTTCCCATCCTAAGTTACTTGACAGTCTGGGCTCTGTTTTATTTTGCCTTGATCTTAACTGCGTAAAAAAATAACTGGTTTAAAGTCCAGTAAGGAGACAATATTGTCCCTGTGGTATATATTGATGACATTACAGGAGTCTTGGTAAAAGTGACAAAAAACTGACAATGAGTGCTGTGTGAGAATTATAAGCAACAAGACTGAATCCAGGTGTAATGCAGGCCAGAAGGTTCCAGTCAATTGGGCTACCCATTGAGAACCCAACTGAAAAGCTTTTGTTTATCACAGGGCTTTCGTTACAAGATGAGGTCTGTGTATGCTCACTTCCCCATCAACGTTGTTATTCAGGAGAATGGGTCTCTAGTTGAAATTCGAAACTTCTTGGGTGAGAAATACATCCGAAGAGTTAGGATGAGGACAGGTAAGTGGCCCTCAGATGTGATTCTTATGCTATCCCTTACATATTCAGAAGGTTGGAGTTTAGCATTGCCTAGACTTCAATCATATTTCAATCTATAAACTTGTTGCTATTTAAATAGGAGTTTTATATATCCAGAAGGTTAGTTGGTGGTTTGCAGGATGTTGGAGCTTGTTTGTGTATGCTGTAGACCGAACCTTGGGGCTCCTAAAAGCAAATGCTCACATATAGTTATATTCCCTGCTGTTTGTTTACTTGTTTGTTTGGTCATGGTTCTTGAACTCTGGGCCTGGGTACTGCCCCTGAGCTCTTCAGCTCAAGGCAAGCTCTCTACCACTTGAGCCACAGCACCACTTCCAGTTTTCTGGTGGTTAATTGGAGATAAGAGTCTCACAGACTTTCCTGCCCAGGCTGGCTTTGAATCATGATTCCTGGATTTCAGATTTCAGGGTTACGGATGTGAGCCACCAACGCCTGGCTCTGTTTTTAATTTGCAGCCTTTCAAAGGGATTTTACAGTTTTTGTTAATTGATAGTATATATTTATGGAGTACAAACGTAGTGTAAATTTAACTTCTGCAGGAAAGGGTGTTTCCCACTATTATACCTCCATTTGTTTGCACCACATTCCAATTTGTTTCAATCCCTCCATGTCTCCCTCTCCCCCAAAATAGCATCCTAGCAGGTTTTCTTGTTTTGTTTTCATAATTATAACTATTCAATGGTATTCATTCCTCTGTTATATTCCCTGCCAGTCCAACCCCTTTCCATTAGTCTCCCAAAGACTTAGAAATTATTACACATTTTTTTATGCAGCTTTCTTGTTGACAGCATACAAATGTTCTCTTTTTAGGTGTTGCTTGTTCAGTCTCTCAAGCCCAGAAAGATGAATTAATCCTTGAAGGAAATGATATTGAACTTGTCTCAAATTCAGGTTTGTATGCTTACTATATGTAACTTCCTGTAAAGTGTTGTTGCCTAAAATTGGCAATACATGACACTATAATCATTTCATTGGAGTTTTGTTTTGTTTTGGTCAATGGGGCTTGAACTCTGGGCCTGGGCACTGTCCCTGAACTCTTGAGCTTAAGGCTAATGTTCTACCACTTGAGCCACAGCCCCACTTCTGGCTTTTTCTGTTTATATGGTGCTGAGGAATCTAAGCCAGGGCCTCAATCTTCAGATAGTACAAGTTACTTAAAGACAGGTAGACAAGATTCATAAAAGTATAGGACAAGTATCAGTTTGAGCATTGGTTCTGTTTGGGTAAAGAGTTAATACTGCTTGTTGTCTGGTTAGTTTATAGAGAATTAAGCCCACCTGTTAATTAAAAAGGCTACTCTCAATGCTATTTCCTGTGCAAGTTTTATTTTTTTAGCCTTTAGTGAAGGAATTTTTCCTATAGGTGTTCAATTCCTGAAAAACAAAGCAGTTATTCTCAAATATCCATCCTTAGACAAGTGGGGTTTTTTGTATTTTAAAATGGAATAAGTCCTTGACTTAAAGAATAGGACATCCAGTGGCTGTAGTCCTAGTTACTCAGGGGGGCTGAGATCTGAGGATTCCAGTTCCATGCCCGCACGGGCAGGAAAGTCCATGAGACTCTTATCTCCAATTAGCCACCAGAAAACTGGAAGGGGGACTGTGGCTCAAAGTGGTAGAGAGCTAGCCTTGAATGAAAAAGCTCAAGAGACCTTGCACAAGCCCCATGACGGGAAAAAAAGGTATAGGACAGCCAGGTGCCAGTGGCTTATACCTGTACTAGCTGCTCAGGAGGCTGAGGTCTAAGGGTTGCAATTCAAAGCCAGCATGGGCAGGAATGTTTTGGTCAGTTGTAGAGCTTGAACTCGGCTGTCCCTCCACTCTTCAGCTCAAGGCTAGCGCCCTGCTACTTCTGGTTTTCTGAGTGGTTTATTGCAGATGAGTCTCGGGCTTTCCTGCCCAGGCTGGCTTTGAGCCTCTGGTACCTGGCTTCTGTGAGACTTTTATCTCTAATTAAACACTAAAAGCTGAAGTTGAGATGTGGCACAAGTGGTAAAGCACTAACCTTGAGCAAAAGAAACTCAGGGACAGTGCCTGGACCATGAATTAAAACCCCAAGACTGGCGCGTGCCCATGCGCGCAAGCACATACACACAGTATAGGACAGTTGCTAAGCAGGTTAGAACACCTGTAATCCCAGCAGGTTGAGTTAATTTTTTTGCCAGTCTTGGTACTTGAACTTGGGGCCTGAGCACTGTCCCTGAGCTTTTGCTCTACCACTTAAGCCACATCACAACTTTTTCTGTTTGTGTGATACTGAGGAATCGAACCCAGGGCTTCAGGTATACTTTATGCAAGCATTTTACCACTAAGCACATTCCCAGCCCTGTGCTATATGTTAATGTGCCTGGAAGCACAGTGGGTTCAACATTATGAAATATATTGTAAATACACTGTTGCGTATGCAGTTTACTGTTTATTGTTGACCAAAATGATGGTGTGTGTGCAGCATGTGGCCTGGTCATGGGTTTTTCTGTAATGAGATCTCTAAAATGTATCCCAGATTGGTCTTGAACTTGAACTTGTCTTGCCTCCGCATTTGAAAAGGTGAAGTGAGTAACTGATGAAGTAATGTTCGTTTTTATTTTTATAG